GTCACATGGACTATAGGTGACGCAATTGGTGATGCTAGAATTTCATCACATATAGTCAAATGTGATGAATGTTTATCGCCACCTAAGCCATATTTTCTGGTAGTGAATGTCATCAAGAGTATTGTGTTAGAGAAAGATCGTATTGCATTTGTAATGAGACAAAACTTTTCAACGGTTATAAACGAAAAATCACGATTTAACGGTTATTTTAACTCTGATTTTGATGATTTTGTACAGCTACACTCCTTGACCTTATATGAATACAATGAATGAATTCGATCTTCAATTTAAAATATTTACACTATTGGATACTACAAATCTTATGTTATACTTAATGAAAGTATAAATAAACTCTTAAGTATTAGTTAATGTATCATTTTGATGGGATACGCATCCTATGAAACTAATTTCAATGATCCAACCGTCAAACTTGTTTATACATGTTTCGAGATCGCATACACCAAAAATTGCAAAAAGCAAACATTCAGAGATCAAGTAACGAGACAAAACTTTTCGACGGTTATAAATGAAAAATCACGATTTAACGGTTATTTTAACTTTGATTTTGATGATTTTTTACAGCTACACTCCTTGATCTTATATAAATACAATGATTAAATTCGATCTTCAATTTAAAATATTTACACTAGTGGATACCACAAAATCTTATGTTATACTTGATGAAAGTATAAATAAACTCTTAAGTGTTAGTGAATCTATCGTTTTGATGGGATATGCATCTTAGAAACTAATTTCAATGATCCAACCGTCAAACTTGTTTATATATGCTTCAAGATCGCATACGCCAAAAATTGCAAAAAACAAACATTCAGAGATCAAGTAATAAGACAAAACTTTTCGACGGTTATAAACGAAAAATCACGATTTAACGGTTATTTTAACTCCGATTTTGATGATTTTTTACAGCTACACTCCTTGACCCTAAAAAAATACAATGAATGAATTCGATCTTCTATTTAAAATATTTACACTAGTGGATACCACAAAATCTTATGTTATACTTGATGAAAGTATAAATAAACTCTTAAGTGTTAGTGAATTTATCGTTTTGATGTGATACACATCCTACGAAACTAATTTCAACGATCCAACCGTCAAACTTGTTTATATATGCTTTGAGATCGCATACGCCAAAAATTGCAAAAAACAAACATTCAAAGATCAAGTAATGAGACAAAACTTTTCGACGGTTATAAACGAAAAATCACGATTTAACGGTTATCATAACTCTGATTTTGATGATTTTTTACAGCTACACTCCTTGACCCTAAATGAATACAATGAATGAATTCGATCTTCAATTTAAAATATTTACACTAGTGGATACCACAAAATCTTATGTTATACTTGATGAAAGTATAAATAAACTCTTAAGTGTTAGTGAATCTATCGTTTTGATGGGATACGCATCCTACGAAACTAATTTCAATAATCCAACCATCAAACTTGTTTATATATGCTTCAAGATCGCATACGCCAAAAATGGCAAAAAAAAAAAACATTCAGAGATCAAGTAATAAGACAAACCTTTTCGGCGGTTATACATGAAAAATCACGATTTAACGGTTATTTTAACTCCGATTTTAATGTTTTTTTGCAGCTACACTCCTTGACCCTAAACAAATACAATGAATGAATTCGATCTTCAATTTAAAATATTTACACTAGTGGATACCACAAAATCTTATGTTATACTTGATGAAAGTATAAATAAACTCTTAAGTGTTAGTGAATTTATCGTTTTGATGTGATACGCATTCTACGAAACTAATTTCAACGATCCAACCGTCAAACTTGTTTATATATGCTTTGAGATCGCATACGCCAAAAATTGCAAAAAACAAACATTCAGAGATCAAGTAATGAGACAAAACTTTTCGATGGTTATAAACGAAAAATCACGATTTAACGGTTATTGTAACTCCGATTTTGATGATTTTTTACAGCTACACTCCTTGACCCTAAATGAATACAATGAATGAATTCGATCTTCAATTTAAAATATTTACATTAGTGGATACCACAAAATCTTATGTTATACTTGATGAAAGTATAAATAAACTTTTTAGTGTTAGTGAATCTATCGTTTTGATGGGATACGCATCCTATGAAACTAATTTCAACGATCCAACTGTCAAACTTGTTTATATATGCTTCGAGATCGCATACGCCAAAAATTGCAAAAAAACAAACATTCAAAGATCAAGTAATGAGACAAAACTTTTCGACGGTTATAAACGAAAAATTATGATTTAACGGTTATTTTAACTCCGATTTTGATGATTTTTTACAGCTATACTCATTGACCTTATATGAATACAATGAATGAATTCGATCTTCAATTTAAAATATTTACACTAGTAGATACCATAAAATCTTATGTTATACTTGATGAAAGTATAAATAAGTGTAGATTTTTAAAACCCTCCAAATCTCATGAACAATGTTATTTATTTGAGTGAAAAATTAATAATAATAAGTGTGAAAAATGTAATCACTCATAATGAAAAGCTTTACAACTTTCATTAAGGGGTCAACTCTGAAATTTAGTATGTATATACTAATTTAATATTATGTTTTACATTTTTTTGGGTCAAATTATGTTTTTCTTTTCATTTTTATTGATTTAAAATATAATTTTCTTAACGGGTAACGGGTCGGGTCATAGTACCTAATAATATTAACGGGTTGATTTCGGATCGGGTCATATTACCCGTTTACTTTAACAGGTATTACACGACACGACCCATTAAGCTATCGGGTATGACACGAAAACGACATGAACACGAGAAACACGACACGAATGCCAGGTCTAATATCAATGTACAAAGAGTCAAGAGTTAGAAAACTCTAGGGCCTCACTCCGAAGGCTAACCTAGGCCCCAAAATCTCAGGTTTGGTTCTCCAGCATTAATTGTGTGTTACGTGTGGTGTGTAGAATGTAACATTTGTTTTTTTTTTTGTCTTAATCATTAAATAAAATTATTAAAATACTTTTGATTAAATTTTAAAATTTTGAAACACTTTTTATTAGTTTTTCATAATTTCTATTTACATCACTTAAAATAATAAAGATAAGAAATTCATTTGGTGGCCATCAACTAATAATAGTTTTACCCTAAAAATGCTTCACAGTTAAATGGAAAAAGAAAAACTAAACAATTATCATTGGAAACCTCCTCGTAATGATTATATTGAGATTATGGCAAACTAATATGGCTGATTCTTTTCCTATACAATCCTCAATAGTTTTGCTGGTATAAAATGCCTTTACCCTTTGGGGTGTGAGATACCTCAGGCTTCGGCCAAAGAACAAATATGGTAATAGACAAAAAGTCCCAAGCAAAAAAATATAATAACGAGGATGAATAAAGGAATGCCAAATAATGGAAGCCCGACCCTTAGTAGGACAATGATGTCGCAAGAATTCGTAATTTGTGAAAAAAAAATGATAATTGGCATGATGCCACGTGCGCTTCGAAATAAGCAAACGAAGCTCATTCTCTATTTTTTTTGTTCAGAGAAAGAACTATATTAAAGAGAAAAGCCCATAGGGCGACTCTATTAAGGGACCAGGGTGGTCCCGGGACCACCTGAAGCTCGGAAAAATGGCTGTGAGGATCTTTAAGGACCACCCATGTTAGTGATGCTGAGCAAGTGATACTGCACAATGATTTGGCCAAAATAACGTCGTTTTGAGCCAAGTCATTAAAAAAATTAAAACCTTACTCATGTGAGAACCCTCACACGATAAAGCACTCAGCTCCTTCACACGATAGAGCAATCAGAACATTCACTTTACCAATAATACCTAATCCTCTGCTGCTCGGCCCATTCTTGTTTCTTACGACATCGATCAACTCTCTGCTGCACTCTAGTTTCTATTCATCGTTGCATCGACGGGCGGGGCGACGATATCTCTAGTGAAAATCTGTAACCCTTTTGCATTTTTTCTCTGTGTAAAGCTTTGGTCTGGAGGCTAACCGCTGGTCCTCTTCTTCTTGGTCGAAGAGGTTTGTACTCTCTTTGACTCTATCCATTAAATAATTTTGCCATCCACTATTTGATATTAAATTATTTATGGTGTTAGATATTTAAATAATTTTACCATCCACTATCTGATATTAATTTATTTGTGGTGTTAGATATTTTGTTTAAGAAGTATTTTTATTTTTAATGTTTGGTGGTGAATTTGGTGATGAATTAAACTTTTAATGTTTCTTTGAAGTGATGGCAGTCTATTTGTGGCATGCTTGTCTTTGGCATTCATAATATTAGAATCCCACGGGCACGGACCTAATTATAAATTTATAATTGAATCTGATTTCTTGTTTTTCATATAATATTTTGTTAGTTTCATCAATTGATTTAGATTTTTTTTATTAATTGATATGTGTAGAAATTAGAAGTATGGAACGATATTACAAGCGAAAATGATCATCGATTAGTTCGGACAATCATATTCCAAATAGTTCATCTCCAAACTTTGATAGTTCCAATCCTATTCTGAACAGTTCCCCTATAATTCCAAGTAGTTCTAATCCAATTGGAGGTAATTCCACTCTACAACAAAATGAGTTAAAAGTTGAATTGGATAATCTTGAGAGAGACCCCGGAAAGAGAATTCCAATGAAGGATTATCCTCTAGATATTCGAGATGATGTCCGAAGAGCATATATATTGATGGGGCCTTTTAGAGCAAAAGATCATGATTTTCCATTCACTTTGCATTCGAATAAAAAGCGATGGTTCGTTGATAATTGGTTGAAGGAATTTCATTGGTTGGAATATAGTATATCTAAAGATGCTGCATTTTGCTTTTATTGCTATCTATTCAAAGTCAACTTTGAACAATCAAACAGTGACATCTTTACTGAGATAGGCTTTCAAAATTGGAAGCATGCAAGAACCTGTTTTGAAAAACATGTGGGAATTGTTGGTAGCTTTCACAATAAAGCTGTTGAAGTTGTTGTAATCTAATGAATCAAAAGACACATATTGAAACAGTTGTGGTCAAACAGTCAGAAGAAGCTCGGATAGCTTATCGCACTTGCTTGAATGCGTCAATTGATTGCACTAAGTTTTTGTTGCGACAAGGTCTTTCATTTCGTGGTCATGATGAAAGTGACACTTCAAACAATAGAGGTAACCATTTGGAGCTCATGCAATTCCTTGCGGATCATGATGAGAAAATAAAGGCCCTTGTGTTAGATAAAGCTCTGGGAAATCTCAAGCTAATAGCTCATTCAATTCAAAAAGATCTTGTTCATTCATGTTCCGTTAAAACCATTAAAACTATCATAAGTGATATGAAGAATGCTAGGTTCTTTTCTCTATTGGTTTATGAGGCACGTGATGTTTCTATAAAGGAGCAAATGACGGTGGTTTTGCGTTATGTGGACAAAAATGGGAAAGTCATTGAAAGGTTTGTAGGAGTTCAACATGTTCTTGACACCACTTCAAACACATTAAAGGAGTCTATTGATGCCTTCATTCATTTCAATGAGTTGTGCTTCTCCAATTTACGAGGGCAAGGTTACGATGGTGCTAGTAATATGAAATGTGAGTTCAATGGACTCAAGACAAAGATTTTGAATGATCAACCTTGTGCATTCTATGTTCATTGCTTTGCTCATCAACTCCAATTAGCTCTTGTTGCCGTAGCAAAGGATAATGTTGATGTTAACACATTCTTCCTATTGGCTAATAATGTGGTAAATAATATTGGAGCTTCATGTAAGTGTCGTGATGCACTTAGAGAGATGCAACAAAAAGAACTTATGAAAGCTCTTGAAAATGATTCTCTTATGACGGGACGAGGCTTAAATCAAGAAACTAGTCTCAAATGTGCCGGAGCTACAAGATGGAATTCACATTATGGTACTTTGATTAGTTTGATTACTATGTTCTCATCCATGGTCAATGTGCTTGAAATGATTGTTGATGATAATACCAATGATAGTGTGGCCGAAGCAAATAAGTTATTGAAAGACATACAATCTTTTGAGTTTGTGTTTTTCCTATTTTTGATGAAATCTATATTGGGAATCACAAATGATTTATCACAAGCATTACAAAAGGATGATCAAGAGATTGGGAATGCAATGGCTTTAGTCAACACATGTAAAGAACAACTATTCTACATGAGTAATGATGAGGGGTTTGGCCTTTTGGTTGACAAAGTATTGCCATTTTGTGTCCAACATCATATTGAGGTTATTAACATGGATGAGACATATGTAGCTCATGGGAGATCGCACCGTAATACCCACAAAAAGACCAACCGTCGTTGTTACAAAGTGGAGCTCTTTTTTGTTGTCATTGATTCCCAGCTTATTGTGTTAAATGATCGCTTCAATGAAACAAGTACCGAATTGCTCATTTGTTTGGCTAGTTTGAGTCCAAATGATTCTTTTGCAGTTTTTGACAAAGAAAAGCTACTTTGCCTTACTTAATTGTACCCTCAAGATTTTACGAAGCAAGACCTATTGGCACTTAAAGATTAACTCGATATTTATATTCATTATATGCGTTCGAGAAGTGACTTTTCTCAGTTGTAGAGCATTAGTGATCTTGCTAAGGAAATGGTGGAAAAAAGGTTGCATCAAGTATTTCAATATGTGTATTTACTTATTGAATTGACTTTGGTTTTACCTGTTGCAACTGCATCAGTGGAGAGAGCATTTTCTACCATGAATATCATTAAGAGTCCACTCCACAACAGAATGGGGGATCAATGGTTAAATGATAGCTTAGTTGTTTACATTGAGAAAGATGTTTTTTCTTGTATTGACAATGAAACTATCATGACACGTTTTCAAAGTATGAGATCCCGTCGTGGACAAATTTAGTATTTCTAGCTTGTTTAGCACAAAGATTATGAATGAAAATTGTAGTTTGCCATTTATTTGTTCAATGATATTTTCATCTTGTTTTTTTTTTTTTTTTTTTTTTGGAGCTTTTATATTAGGACCACCCTAAGTTAAAATCCTAGATCCGCCACTGACCTCAATAGTTTTGTTGGTATAAAATGCCTTTACCCTTTGGGGTGTGGGATACCTCAGGCTTCGACCAAAGAACAAATATGGTAACAGACAAAAAGTCCCAAGCAAAAAAAATATAATAACGAGGATGAATAAAGGAAGGCCAAATAATGGAAGCCCGACCCCTAGTAGGACAATGATGTCATAAGAATTCGTAATCCGTGAAATAAAAAATGATAATTGGCATGAGGCCACGTGCACTTTGAAATAAGCAAACTAAGCTCATTCTCTATTTTTATTTTCAGAGAAGGAAAGAACTATATTAAAGAGAAAAGCCCATAGGGCAACCTGTTTGAGTACAATAAAATAGAAAGGTTGCACAAGTAGCCAACGGAAGAGTTTTATCCCAAACATGGAAGTCATTAATTGAGAGACCAACACTTGTGATAGCGTCTGCTAGAAAATTGACCACTCTTAAGACATGCTTCCAACAGACGTCCTTAAAGAAGCCCGCCAACCGTTGAATGTCAACAAGAATGGTCGTCAATCTCTAGGGAGCATGAATAACCTCAATAACCAACTTAAAGTTGCCTTCAACCATGATGCGATTAAATCCCCTCGAGTTTGCCATCCAAAAACCATCACGAAACGCCAAACATTCTGCCACATTAATGGTGTTTTGTCCAACACTACACGCCCCAGCAATGATAGGGGAACCATTCTCATTTCTAATCACAAAACCAGAGGCAACCCGCTGGTTAATGACCGAGCCGTCAAAGTTGAGCTTGACAAAATGTAAAGACCAATATTTTAAAATGCATATAGTATTATTACAAATAATAATAATAATATTTATTTTCTATTGTGATTATGTGTATTATATATTTCCTAAAATCATATTTTACAATATTGATTAAATATTTAGCCTGAAAATATTGATAAATATCTGAGTATTTTATCTTCTATTCTTACTACCTATCGATAGCTTTTAGGCGGTGTAAGTTTGCTTGGTCTGATCTCACCTTCCTCTGTACCGACTTCCTTCTCCTATAAATAGAATGTTATTGCTTCGGTCTTCTTCACTGGCTAGATGAAACGCTTTCTATCGGGGTCTACTCTCTCTCAGGTTTAAAGAGTTTTCCTTTCTAGGTTTTCCTCTTAGTTATTTGTTTCATATCTCTGTATGTTATTAAAAAATTATAAATGTTTGTATCTAAACTAAAAAGGGGCTCATGGGCATCGTTATGCATATGTATTTGAATTCGTTCATACTGCTGATTTAGTTTTATAGAAAAGTCTTTCTATTCATATTGTTCTTTAGTGATAGCCTCTTAAGTTATGTATATCGCATGTTACATAACAATACCATATTGATTCCTATTCTTGGGAAGGCACTTAACTTTAGGAGACTTGGATGCTGCTTTATTGCAAAGAGAAGAGTCGAAGCATGTACTGCATGTATATGTATATGTACTATGTATGGATGTATGTCTATTGTTAAATGAATAAGCATGCTGGTAAATGGTTTTATGTACGGTTTAATTTATACATATTACTTGAATGGTTTTGAAGGCAAAAGACTTTTGTCTAAGCACTATACATGTTTGCTATGTACGAAACTATTTTGTACAACATTATAGTTCAACCAAATGACTTTTGAATTGAGTAGCGTGGAACTGATGAGTTTTAAGTATGTTGATTAGTATTTAAGTTCATAAAAGGCATTTGGTAATTTTCTTATACTTGTGAATAGGAGCTTATCAAAGTTGTGGTTTCTTGTGTTATTATCTCAGAGCAATACTTTGGAATCCAGGTAAGGGAAATACGGTAGACTTTTACGGAGATTGGCTTTATTAAATTTCGTGAAACATTATATTATTATTATTGATCTTGTTGGTTGATTAATGTGATGTGGTTTACTAATTGGACAAATACTGCTCTTGCATGTTTACTTGTTATTGGTTATGGAATTATTGGTGAAATGTTATTGGTTGAGAATATATTGTGAGACATGTGAGGGTTGAAATGACATTATTTATGCATCACTCATGTGTCATGTGGTTGGAGCTTTCGATGTGGAGAAATGAATGGAAATGAGGGTAATGGAAGGGATCTTTTGTGTAGTTGAGGCAAACTCTTAGCAGGTACCAGGTCTCAGGCGAGTCCGCGTGTTTTATTATACGAATTAACAGGTAGAGATGAAGAGTATTACATTGCACGCATGCATTGTTATTGATAATGATTTGGTACTTGATTACATGATTTTATGACACTTAATTTGACAATTACTGTGATAAGGTTATGTCCCTACTGAGTTGTTGAAGCTCACCCCTCTATTGTTATGCAAGTTTATGAACTAAACAGTAAAAAAAGGTAGAAGGGATGAAATCGGATTAAGTGCTAGGATAGAATTTTGTATTTATTTATTTTAGTCTTGTAAAGAATTATTGATTTCTTGTTTTCATATTTTTCCAACCAGTTTCACTTTCATTTTATTTAATTTTATTTTTAGCTCGCGTGCCGGATTTGGGTTCGAGATTTTTCTTATTGACCCCGGATCCGGGGTGTGACACAAAACCAGCTTCAGGAGGAGACCACCGAATAGAGTTGGGTTTCCTAGGCTCAATCTCCATAGGGTTAGGGAGGGATTAGGGTGTTTATTGTACCAGACTATCTTGAATTGGTCTAACTTTAGGGATTAAGCATAACTGGATTGGCTTAGACTGAGCATGATAAAAATAGTGAAGTGTTTGGTGCAGTGTTAGACTAAGTTTCGGACTAAAATATTTTAGTCCCAATAATTTTTTTTTTCCATTTTGCAATGGACTAGACTTTGTAATTTGCCACTATCCAACAAAGCTTTGCCGTATTACTCTCTCTCCCTCCCTCTTTACTAAAAACATCAACCATAACTTCTGCACACACCAAATTGATTCGAATTTCACTTCTAGGTTGTATGTCGCTGATTTGACGTTCATGGAGACCTTGAGCGGCTGGAGGTAGTTGGCAAAGAGGAGGAGAATGAACCCCAATTTGGAAAAGTCTGAATCCAGATTCAAAAGATCCAAGAGGGCAATTTTCGAGATGTTGAAATCCAGATGGCCATTGAGGGTGAAGGAACTCCTCAAAGGGGATTATTGGGCGCCAGTCAGAACAGATTAAGGAGAATTGAATCTTGGTGGAGCATAAAGAGAAGAAAGCGAGGAGAGATATAAGGGTGGGGAGGGGTAATGGACGAAGGGGAACGATGATGGCCGTGCTTGTGAAATCATAAAGCAAAGAGAGATGTGAGGGAGTTAGTCCCCATTAATCCCATGGTTCGTGACAACTCTCACTAGCGAGCATGCGAGGGAGGTTGTCCACGTGTGTCCCCTTTAGTCTTATTTAATGTAGTCCTTGCACTTAACAAACACATGATTACATTATGTAGTCAAGTCCGGTCTAGTGATAATCAATGAGGCCAAACAAACGTACCCTAGGGATTAGGAAGGGATTAGGGAGGGGACCAAAAGAAATAAAACACGTCAAATCCAAAAATGCTTGAGAAAAGAAAATCGTAGAAAGAGGAAGATAAGTTTGAGGTTTCAATAACAAATGTTGTTACACCATATAAAGAGGAACATACAGTCGGTATAAATTCAAAGTCATATTGATAACACAACATATTATATATTTGACAAGAGAACATTATTGTAAACAAGTGGTTTTCAAGAAATCTTTTTGGGCTAAGTTGGTTTATTTATTAAAAGTGAGTATTATTCCAAGGAATTTGGTAGCAGCATTGTTTTACTCATAGAGTGCTGGATCTGATAACCTTGGAGTTGGGATGGCAACCAAAGGAATCTTATTCTTCAACACAATCCCAAACTTCTCAGAAAGATCCAACTCCTCTCCCTCTTGCAATTTCCAATCAAAAGAATGCAAAAGTGTAGCAAGTGAATGCATCACCATCCTCTCAGCCATTGCAATCCTAGCACATATACTTTTGCCTGACCCAAATGGAAAATAGTTGAAGCCTTTTCCATTGTAGCCCCATTTGCTATCCAAGAACCTCTCCGGCTTGAACTCCAATCGGGTTTTCTCAAATTGAAGGGTCTCTGTGTATAGCCTAAACGTTGACGAAAATCCAAGATCCTATGGGAATGGTGTAGCCTCCCACAATGCAAGTTTCACTTGGGCAACGAGGGATTAATAGAGTCAAGGTTAGGTGCAAGCGCAGAGTTTCTTTCATCACAACTTGTAAGTATGGTAATTTGTTGATATGAGATTCTTCTACAATGTTGTGTTTGCCAACCACATCTTCTAATTCTTGCTGGGCTTTTTCCATCATCTCTGGTTTGTTCATGATTTCAGCTAGTGCAAACTCAGTTGTGTTGGAGGAAATGTCAGTCCCACCCACCACAATATCCTGCCCACAGAAAGATTGCACACTATTATGTTACTATACCAATTGGTTCCCTGGAAACAAGGGA